ACCCTGAGAAAACCATAATTTAAAAACTGTCATGTACCAAAATATTCATTGTAGCTCTATTTACAATAGCCAGGAGATGGAAGCAACCTAAGTGTCTATCATTGGATGTATGGATAAAGAAGATGTGGCACATATATAAAATGGAATATTACTCAGCCATAAAAGAAACGAAATTGTGTTATTTGTAGTGAGGTGGATTGACCTAGAGTCTGTCATACAGAGTGAAGTAAGTCAGAAAGAGAAAGACAAATACCGTATGCTAACACATATATATGGAATCTAAGAAAAAAAAATGTCATGAAGAACCTAGGGATAAGACGGGAATAAAGACACAGTCCTACTAGAGAATGGACTTGAGGATATGGGGAGGGGGAAGGGTAAGCTGTGACAAAGTGAGAGAGTGGCATGGACATATATACACTACCAAACGTAAAACAGATAGCTAGTGGGAAGCAGCCGCATGGCACAGGGAGATCAGCTCAGTGCTATGTGACCACCTAGAGAGGTGGGATAGGGAGGGTGGGAGGGAGGGAAACGCAAGAGGGAAGAGATATGGGAACATATGTATATGTATAACTGATTCACTTTGTTATAAAGCAGAAACTAACACACCATTGTAAAGCAATTATACTCCAATAAAGATGTAAAAAAAAAGCAGTGTAAAAAAAAAAAAAAAAAAACTTCAAAAAACAAAAAAAAAAAAAAAAAAAAAAGAAAAAGTTGGGCTAGCTATAATATTGCCAGACACAGTACTTTAAACATAAAGCTATACTGACTTTATTTTCTTTAAAAAGCATTATTAGAGATAAAAAAAAAAGTCACTGCACAATTGTAAAAGGTTCAATTCAAACTTATATATGCCTAATAAGTTAGCCTGAAAATAGATGAAACAAAAAATTTGAATACTGTAATTGTAAAAATTATAATGTAAAATTGAAAATGGATAGAGTGATGGAGATATATTCATGTTTCAAGTAAGTGACCTAGTAAGCAAAAAATTAGTAAATATAATATATAGTTGATTTGAACAACATAATTGGCAAGTTTGATTTAACAGGCATATAGAAACCTGTATACCATAGTTAAAGAATGTACATTCTGTTTAAACATACATGAAACATTTTTTTTAACTGACCCCATAATAGACCATATAGGTAATACCAAAAGATTTCAGAGAATGGGTATCAAGCCGACTGTGCTCTTTTCCCCATGGGGGCCCGGTGCGCAATGGCTGCAAACAGCAGCCTCCTCGGTAATGTATGCAGCCTGTTGCCTGTATGGGTTGCCCTAAGGAACCTTGGAGACAGCCCTTTCCAGTGGACATTAATGACTGGCATGCTGTCCCCAATCTAGGCTCCAGACAGGTATGCGTGGTGCCTTTGGAAAGCCCCAGGGCACAGTGGCCAGGGTCCACATTGGCCAGGTCATAATGTCCATCCGCACCAAGCTGCAGAACAAGGAGCATGTGATTGAGGCCCTCCGCAGGGCCAAGTTCAAGTTCCCTGGCCGCCAGAAGGTATGTAGTGCTACAGCCTTGTTCTCACCTTTCCCTGCTCCTGTCCCCAGGCCTCCTGACTCAGCTGTTTCTGTCTCTCTCTAGATCCACATCTCCAAGAAGTGGGGATTTACTAAGTTTAATGCAGATGAGTTTGAAAACATGGTGGCAGAAAAGCGGCTCATTCCAGATGGCTGTGGGGTCAAGTACATCCCTAATCGTGGGCCCCTGGACAAATGGCGGGCCCTGCACTCGTGAGAGCCTTGGCGCTGCCCCCTCCCTACCTATGCCCACCAAAAAACTCTACTTTCTTTTCCCTGAAAAAAAGAAAAAAAGAATGGGTATCGTATAGATCATGTTCTCCAACTACAGTGAAATTAAATTAGAATTTAATAAACAAAAAACAGTAAGTCTCAATATATTCATAAAATTTTAAATGCATTTCTAATTATAAGTCAAAAAAGAAATCATGATGAATTTATACATACTTAGAATTTAGAATTTTAAGTGACATGAAAAATACCTATCAAAATTTGTGGGACACAATAAAATGATACCTTGAAGTAAATTGATAGTCTTAAACAATAAAATTAGAAAAGAAAAAATCCTGGATGTTACTGAGCTAACAGTCAGTTTACATTATAAATAGAACAGCATGAGTAAATTGGAAAGAAAAGGAGAGAGAGAGCAGAAATTAATGAAATAAAAAAGAGATTGAAAGCAAAGAGTTGATCCTTTAAAAAGACAAATGCAATAGACAATATTCCAGTGAAATTGGGCCATTATAAAGAAGTGTAAATAGATAATATCAGAAATAAAACAAGGCAGAAGTATAGCTATTGACAGAATTTAAAAGAAAGTGCTATGAGAATAATTTAAGCTAATTAATTTTACTACTACTAAAAGAAATATCTAGAAAAACACACTTTTTAAAATACCTTCAAAAAGATTTTTTTTAAAGTCTGATTACCGTTGGAAAAATCAAATAGTTAAATATCTTTCCACAAAGGAAGGATGAAACCCAGATGGTTTTCTAGATGGGATCTCCCATGCTTTCAAGATATACATCATTCCAACATTATATAAAATCTTCCAGAGAATGGGAAAAGAAATAATACACTTCTAACAAATTCTGTATGGTGAATAAAACCTTGGTATCAAAATTAGACAAATATAATCAAAGGAAGATCATTTCACTCCTGAAAATATATGCATGGAATGGAATCTAGCAGTGTGTTTAAAAAAAAAAAAGGAAAAACCTTGATCAAGTTTGGTTTAGTGTTACAAAACTCATAAAAGGAATTCACAGGATTAAATTAATTGTATGATCATTTCAATATCTGCACAATTTTTTAATAAAAAAGCATACATTTTTTAAGTCTCAGAAAACTATGATGATAAGTTTATCTGCCAAGAACCTATGTCAAATATTACTCCTAATGGTGAAACTGCACAAGTATTCCTTTTAAAATCCAGGAAAAAAGGCTACCATCATCATTTCTATTCAACATTCAACAAGGTTTTTGTCTTGCTTTAAGACAAAAGAAAGAAAAAGAGAAAAATGAGAGAAAGTTACAAGGATTAAAGAAGAGGGGGAATAATAGCCATAATTCACAAGTGATATAAATATCCACAGGTAAATTATAAGGATTAATTAGAGTAATGAATCAGGTGGCTAGATTTAAAATCAATATTCCAAATAATCTAATGCATTTCTCTCAATCAACATCATAGACCATACACTAATAAAAGAGGTAAATGAAAGTTGTGCATGACCAGCTTTGAAAGAAAATATTATATACTACTGAAAGAAATTTTTAGAAGACCTTCATAAATAGACAGATAATTGTTTTATAATTATTTGACATGCTGGCGTAAAATTTTTATGGAAGAGCAAAGGTCCAAGAAGAGCCAAAATACTCTTGAAGAAAATTAGATGGAGTTATACATCCTATGAATTATGATGATTTATTACATAGCTATAAAATTTGAACTAATATGAAATTGGCACATGGACTAAATAAAAAGTATTGATTAATGAAACAGCGGGATGATTTGCACATACCAGTGCAAGCAGAAAATTTATATACGGCATTGCAGGTTCTAATGAAAGGAGGTAAACTAGTCAATGCATGATCTAAGGACACTGGACATTCACAGAGAAAAGAACTTATAAAACTAGATCCCTATTTGATACCACATCAAAAAAATTATGCCAAATGGTTTCGAGATTTAAATGTGAAAAGACAAATTTTTAAATATTTACAAGAAAACAGGATAATACACTCAGACTTTTGAGCTACAGAAGGCTCAGAAGGCTATAATTTCTTTAATAAGATACAAAATTGCTAAACCTAAAATTATAAATTCAGCTACAGCATACATTTTCACACACACAAAACAATTAACACTAAGGAACAAATTATTAACAGATATTTACAATACATATAAACCAAAAAGGGTTTGGTATCAAGAAGTTATAAAGAACATTAAAAGGCAGTAAGAAAATGAAAAATACCACAGCAGAAAAATAGGCAATGTTTTCTTTATTTCTTTCATTCCTCTCCAAAAAGGAAATATAAATGACCAGTAAATATATAAAAAGATGTCCAAACTCATTAGTGACCAGGGAACTGAAAATTATTGCTATAATGAAATATATTAAATTTAGATTGGCAAAAATGAGAAATTTGAAGATCCTGGTATTAATAGTGATATAATCAAAAACGAATGCTTATACACTATGGATTAAAGGTATAAATTGGTACCACTTTAGAAAATAATTTGGTATATCTTATAAAGTTAAACATGAGCACATTTAATAGCATGCAATTCTAACCATAGGAATATACCTTAGCTCTTATAATAAAGTTCATAATAGAAAACAGCTGGAATCAGCCCAAATATTCACTGACAGGATATAGATATGTGAACTGTAGATGAAATATTGTACAGCAGTGAAAATGCATGAACTAAAGCTCAAAAATAAGCATAATCAAGCAATTTCTTTTAGGAATATATACTATACAATAAAACTATTTTTCAAAAGATGGAAGGAACTGCCACATACAAAATTCATGCTATTGGTTACCTCTTGGGGAAGTGCAAGGGAGAGAGTAAGGACTTAGCACAGGCCATAGAACAGTACCAATAAATTTCTAATTCTTAAATCTGGTGGTGGATTCATGACTACTTTTTTTTTTTTTTGCTTTAAATTTGCATATAAGTTTTTAATGTACTATTTTGCATGGATCAAATATTACACAATAAAACACTTTAAAATGTCAAGCTCTGCATAGCACTTGATATTTAGAAATTAATTGGTACATAAATATTAGCTCTTATTATTCTTTAAAACTTAGAGCAGAATCAAATAATAGTGACACTAACCATTAATTAATAATCAAAATGATTGTGTAAATTAAAAGGAAGATAACCGAAACATCATTTTAAATAATTCAGTAAACAATTATATAAGCTATATTTTATTTACCAAATAACTTACCTAATGTGTCACATTTCTCTCTAGCTCCACAAATGTCTTCCCTTAAAACAAAAGATTTTGAAGCATTTTCAGAAAATATTTTTGCAACATGCCAAAACAAAGATAAAGAAGCTTTAACTATGACATGACTATTACCCTAATGACATGACTATTACCCTAAACCTAGAGTAATGCACCATTTTTGCATATCAATAAGCAGTAGGTGCTATATAAAAGTGACTGCTGTGAACAGCTGAAGCTTAACCAAGTTCAATGAAAAGCTTTTCTAAGTGTATTTTTCTCCTCTCTGCCTTTATTTATGCAGTAGTATATGTAATATACTCTTGATGTTTCAATGCCTTTATGAACTTCAGCTATTATTCTCAGCTGCAAAATAATGATGTTCTCAGATGTTACCAAGTTGCTTAAATTTTTTCCTTCTTAAATCACTTAGTCCCTAAACATTCATTATGACAGTTCTCTAGTCTCCTTCCTCATGGTCTCCTCTTACAGCCCTTTTCCTCCCTCCCATCATTAATCTGTTATCTTCAGTCTTTGCTGCTTGGCCTCTAACTATAACCCAGGGCAGAACCATGGATTGGTAATAGAATACTCTGTATAAATTTGAGTCAATTCTGTTTTAGTTTAGAAAGGAAATAAAGCACATGGAAAATATGCCAGCTGTTTTACATGGACTAAAGGTTTTCATTTCAGGGTTCTAGAAAGCCAAAATTTCTCTGAGTCTGACCCTCAAGCAAAAGATTTTTCCCCCTTGGCCAAGCAACCAACCGAAACAAACAACAAACTCGGGATCTAAATATTCTGGTAGCATGACTGTTGCTGAAACAAAGATGTGAATTAACAATGTATAGTGGTACATGTAAAATGGATACTCATTTTATAATAGCGGCAGCTGCATATAAATAAATAGGTTTGAGAAAAACCCTAGCAAAAGCAGCCCGGTAATTAAGTCATGCATTGAGCGTCAAAACAAGGAGCAGATAGATATTTTTAAGTATAGGGCGTCCAAAATAAATTCAAAGGCTTTCTTTTACAAGCGATTTAAAGGTCAAGTTAGGGAAGAAACAAGACGTGTTCTCAGTTCCATAACTATATTAATTTCCAAGTAATTTTCCTGATTCTTACTCTGTCACTAATATAATAAGGAAATCATCTTGTTTATGTCAAACCATTACTTAGCAACCTAACGTTGCTACTTTCCTAAGGAATCAGGCCAGTGTTCTGGTCTGAAAAAAACAGAAGAATGCTTTCATTCAATGGTATTTTTTGCAATACAAGGTCTCATAGAACATTTCTATGTATTATCGATAAAGAATTAACGTAAGAAGAAATACTGGTGATCATGCAGGAGATAAAGGGTAAACAATTTCATTGCAAGAGTTATTTCTAGAACTGTACCTAGTGATAAGAACAGCAGTATCATGGTGGGATGGGTGGGCATCATCTAGAACATTCTGAGTTTGCTGCCAGAAACAGAAGTTGCGTAACGTGGTAGCCGCATTAAAACTGATGACTGGTCCTTCCTACACACAAAAAATCAGCAATTTAACATTACGACAAAATATTCATGGCCTTTTTCCTTCCAAGCTGGTCAATGTTCATGCAATTCATTAAATAGCATTTTCACAGGCAAATGAAGAAGTGGTATCATCTCTCCCTCATATCTAAAACATATTTCAGCAATACTTAAAACACTGTGATCAAAACAGAATCAAATTAGACCTTCCAATATTTGGGATTGAAAAGCTAACTTTTGAAAATTACTATATTTTAAATCTTTCAACAGTAGGATTATAAAAGTGAATACCTGAATGTTTTCAACCTTAAATTTTTAAATTGTTTATTAATTTTTGTTACTTCCTCTGTTGTCATTCCATTTTGTTTCCATCACAACAGAAAAAGTTAACCCCATTCCTTTTCAAATCAAGTTTTGTAATATACATTTTTAAAATATCTCATTTCTAATAAGGGTTTCATGATCTCTCTCTATATTCCCGCTCAGAGCCTACTACAGCTAGGATTACTACTTTTAGAACTGTTTCTTACCTGTTCATCATGAATTATAACTAATTTTACAATTACTATGTTTATAAGATTTCCAATACTTGAGTCCTTGTAGATCGCTGCAACCTGCAAGGAAAAAAAATATAAGATTAGATGCCTAAAATTAACACCTTTTCTCAAAAGTAAATTGAAACCAGTCTGAGCCAGAGCATCAATTCTCCAATTTAGCTGCACACTGGAATCTCCTAGGGAGCTTTTCACAAATCCCTAAGCTCAGGCCACATCCCTTATCAATTAAATCAGAATCTTAAGGGTTGCGACCCAGGCATCAGCATCTTTTAAAATTCCCTGGCTTTTTAATGATTCCAATGTGAAGCCAAGTTTGAGAAACAGTATCCTATATCTTGCTACTGAGATTCACTCATTGATCAGCAGCATCTGCTTCACCTAGAGCTGATTAGAAATAAGGAATCTCAGGCCCCACCCTGGACAGGTGAGTCAGAATCTATATTTTAACAAGATCCTCAAGTGATCTGAACACCCATTAGAGCTTGGAAAATACTGTCCTAGATAATTCAGCAAAAAATTCACTACATTCTGTGTCACAATCCACAGTTTATGTGTCCACAATACACCATAAAAATAAATATATAAGGTTTACCTGTTCTTTCCTGGCAGTTTTACCCAATCTTTCTGCCATGATTGCATATTTTCAACTCCGAATATGCTTATGGTTTTTAATTGTTCACACACTAGAATCCACGGAGACAAATTCATCCAGAATCGCACAAACAGCCATAGGAGAGGTCATGCTTCACAATCTGGTCTTTCATTCTCCAAAACTGGAGAATGCAATTCTAGGAGGCACTCTGCATGGGCTTATAGTGAAGGTGCCATCCAATTCACTAATTCATATCCTCATCTTGTAGCCACCGTAGAGGCTTCCAGACAGCAGGAGAGTATTCCATGGCCAACACCTCTGCCTTGCACTCCTTACATCCTTTAGATATAACCTTCTGGACCTGGGCCACCTGTGCCATGAAAATTGCTTCTGAAATGTGGATCACCATCTCCTGAACCACTGCCCAAACCAAGACAGCAGAATTGGAGGTGCGCCTTTTCTTGTTTATTTAAATAATGTTTAGCAACTATTCCTTCCTTCGCTGGCTATAGACCCAGAGACAGGGAAGAGGACATGGTCCCTGACCTTGTGGAGCTTAACAGTTTCCTAGAAGTACCAGTAGTGAAGCCCTCACCCTATCAGCCAAAGTTGCTTCAACACAGTGAATAATATGACTGTTACTGTTGCTTCTAATGCCACACGGAGAACCACCAGAACCAGAGCCAAAAGCAACTCTGACCCTATAGGGTCAGCGTGAGCTTAAATACACATTCCAGCACCTTTCCTATTGTTTTAGCTGTGCAGCCACAAATACAGGTTTGCTATCTTTATCTGCAGTGATGCCTTTGGTTCTAGCATTTTTTGGCAAGAGTGATGGTCACCACAGTGGAGTTGAGAGTAAGTACAGTTAAGACAGGGACAGGCAGATTACTGGCTGTTTCAAGCTGGTCTGCCAGCACTGCAGTATTGCTCACTTTAAAATCGGAGCTGTGGAAATCTATGGCTGAATTGATTAATATATATTTTAAAAGTTGCATGGAAAATGAATATATATTGTAGAAAACAAATTATATCCATATTTGTGATTTCAGAGTTATCTTCTGATCATGTGAAGTTAACAGTAGATGCTTTAACCAAGTCAAATTACAAGGTAAACAAAGTACCTCAAAGGTATGCACAAAGGCTCTTTTCCTCTAAAAATAAAAACCAGTTGTGAAGACCTGTCACAGGCCATCATGCATTGCCAGTAGCTCAGAGAAAAGAGCTTAGGCGCTGTAAAGTATCTAAACGGCTAATTACTCTACTCATTGCCTGAACTATGTTGACTACAAATGACAATCTGGCTATTGTAATATTAGCTATAATATATATAACCACAAATATGTTCTGTTTCAGAAGGAAACAGACATGGCACCTTTATTGAAAAGTGACCAACCTACCAGCTGGAATTTGGAAACATATTCCTCCCAGTGTTCTGACGGTACATTTTTAAATATATTACTACAACAAAATTTCTTTAAAATGTAACATTAGGGAAAAGATAATTCAAATTATTATGTAAGATGGGCAATGTTATGAAGCAGAGTCCTTCAAATTAAACAGGCCCAGGTTCAAATTCTAACTTCCACTTGTTGATAACACCTACTTACCAAGCTGCTATAAGGATTAAATGAGATGGTGTACAAAAAGCATTTAGATCAGGGCCTGGGTCATAGTGATCTATGATACCTATTATTACTACTTTCAGAAGAAAAGGCATATGTTATATATAATGCTAATTCTAGTTCATTTTTTTCAAATTTCAATAGTTATCATAGAATGGCAAACTGAAAGCAAAGGATCCAAGAGCACAGTTTCATTCTTTCTTTCAATATTTATTGAATTATCTGTTGCCTGTCAAATACTGTGTTGCTTGCCTAATACACAAATGAATGAAGCATCATCTCTACTCTTAAAATATTCAGTCTTCCAGGGGTAAAAGGTATAAAAACAGATGGTTCAGTTTAAATAATTATTCATATACACCCCAAAATGGCATGTGTCCTCAAGAAGGTCATCTTGGGCTTCCCTGGTGGCGCAGTGGTTGAGAGTCCGCCTGCCGATGCAGGGGACACGGGTTTGTGCCCCGGTCTGGGAAGATCCCACATGCCGCGGAGTGGCTGGGCCCGTGAGCCATGGCCACTGAGCCTGCGCATCCAGAGCCTGTGCTCCACAACGGGGGAGAGGCCATAACAGTGAGAGGCCCGCGTACCGCAAAAAAAAAAACAAATAAAAAGAAGGTCATTTTGCTCATTTAATTGGATGCACCTCCTATTGTTTTATGTATTGATCTTTATAATCTATGTGCTCACACTCTATACATACATACCTTTTACAATATTTGGATATTTAGAGGTGCTTTTATTGAATAACTATTCAATTAAGCTGAATTGTGAATCAGGCAGATGAATGACCAGAAGGCCCACTTGTTACTTCGGAGGCTTTCCCAATTAGCATGCACAACACGCTTCTCTTATTCCTAAAACTACCACCCCATATTAGGTCACCATAATGGTAGGGTATCCATGTTTGCTACTTCCTCATAAATACATAACTAGAAATAATATTTATTGAATGTTTACTGTGTTTGTGATGTGATCTAAGTTTAAATGTATTAATTCATTTAGTAATTCTCACAACAAATCCTATGAGCTAGAAACTATTGTATCCATTTTACGGATGAGAAAACTAAGGTACAGAGAAGTTAAGTAACGCACTCAAGGTTAGGTGGCTGGTAAGCAACAGAACAATTTCCATCCAAGGCAGTCTAGCTTCAGCTCTGACTACTTTATCTGATCTTATGGAGCTTCAGCATTCTACCCTAAGTATTTCCTAATTAGTTCTTGATACAAAAGTTATTTCAGAACCCTGATGTGGTTCATGCCCTAGCCCCTGACACTGTCCTGCTACAGTCACTTGAGCATGGCCTCAGAAGTCCTACACAGTCAGGAGACGTGGGTTTTAGTTCTAGCTCTTATCAGTTACAAGCCAGTTGTCTAACTATAGAAATGGACGTATCTACTTTTTGTCTCAATACCACAACTACATTGAGGCACTGAGCACACTCAGTCACAGTGCCCTGGTGTGCTGGATTAGTATTTACCAGATGCTGTTGGGGAAGGGGTGTGAGAACATTGGTTTTAAAGAACAAAATCATTCCACAGTTTGAGAAAAGTTGAGTAAAAAAATTAAACAGATGCCTTCATGGAGTCTTGAATAGGCTAACATATATGCATAAATATTAAATCTATAAGAGAGGTATTACATGCAGCATCTCACACAACTACTTGGCCAAGTCCTCTTTTCCCCTTCATGGAACATGCCGAAGGACGAGTATCCCATCCCAGACTACACTGTAGGAACTGCTAGATTAGATTCCTAAGGTACCTCTTCTGTTTTATAAAACCATGGAATATTGTTAAATTTTACTGTAATCACTCCACTTTAGAGTGCTATACATTAGAACTTTTATTGATCCAGTTAAAATGTATTCAATCTTTTATTCTTTTTTTTATCTTTTTAAAAATTTTCATTTATTTTTTTACACAGCAAGTTCTTATTAGTTATCCATTTTATACATATTAGTGTATATCTGTCAATCCCAACCTCCCAATTTATCCCACCACCACTCCCACCACCACTGTTCCCCCTTAATGTCCATACGTTTGTTCTCTACATCTGTGTCTCTATTTCTGTCCTGCAAACTGGTTCATCTGTACCATTTTTCTAGGTTCCACATATGAGTTAATATACGATATTTGTTTTTCTCTTTCTGACTTACTTCACTCTGTATGATAGTCTCTAGATCCATCCACATCTCTACAAATGACCCAGTTTCATTCCTTTTTATGGATGAGTAATATTCCATTGTATACATGTACCACATCTTCTTTATCCATTCGTCTGTCGATGGACACTTAGGTTCCTTCCATGACCTGGCTATTGTCAATAGTGCTGCAATGAACATTGGGGTGCATGTGTCTTTTTGAATTGTTTTTTTCTGGGTATATGCCCAGTAGTGGGAGTGCAGTGTCATATGATAATTCTATTTTTAGTTTTTTAAGGAACCTCCATACTGTTCTCTATAGTGGCTGTATCAATTTACATTCTCACCAACAGTGCAAGAGGGTTCCCTTTTCTCCACACCCTCTCCAGCATTTGTGGTTTGTAGATTTTCTGATGATGTCCATTCTAACTGGTGTGAGGTGATACCTCCCCGTAGTTTTGATTTGCATTTCTCTAACAATTAGTGATGTTGAGAGGGTTTCATGTGCTTCTTGGCCATCTGTATGTCTTCTTTGGAGAAATGTCTATTTAGGTCTTCTGCCCATTTTTTTATTTGTTTTTTTTTGTTTGTTTGTATTTTGTGGTACACAGGCCTCTCACTGTTGCGGCCTCTCCCACTGCAGAGCACAGGCTCCGGACGCGCAGGCTCAGCGGCCATGGCTCACAGGCCCAGCTGCTC